ACATCTGCATGCAGCTCACCGGGTGCTAAGGTATCTCTCTAAAGAGCCGGATCGAGGAATCACCTTCAACAGATCAATAGGTAAACCCTCACTTAAAGCTTACACGGACGCAGATTTTGCAGCAGATCCATCAACAAGTAGATCTACTTCCGGATCGCTGATTATACTAACTTCAGGACCAATAAGTTGGCGATCCCATCTTCAGCGGGAAGTTGTTTTGTCTACAACTGAGGCTGAGTATCTTGCTGCCACCGAAACATGTCGTCAGCTACAGTGGACAAAATCGCTTCTGGAAGAGTTAAACATTACTGATCACATTGAGGGAGCAAAATGCACCAAGTTGTACGTGGACAATCAATCGGCAATTTCCCTTATCAAAAATCACGACAATCACAGAAGATCAAAGCATATCTCACTTAGGAACTTCTATTGTCGGGAGCAGCATCAAAAGTGATTGATTGATGTGTCCTACGTGCCTTCTTCTGATCAACTAGCTGACTCACTGACCAAGGTTAAATCATCAGTCGCTATTCAATAACTTAAGGAGTCGTTACCGACAGGGGGAGTGTTGTGCCTAGACCCACATAGCTACAGTGCACAGCTCCAGTTATGATGGTCACGCGACTGCATGCATTTGCTCTGTTTGCTCCTGCTTCGTTGAGTTAGTATAATTAGTAAGCAATAGTCTAGGGACTATAAGTAGAGAGCTTTCCTCCACAGTAGATAAAGCAAGCAATACAGTCTTTCCTCATTCTACAGAGATCATTCTCCACTCCTCTTCTTGACCTGTCCGGCCCAGCAGCACATCTGTGATCACTAGCAGCGAGCTCCCACAAATTGTATGTACACCCGAATCATAGACCTATCATAACACAAATGCTGCGGCCAAAGCGGGCCTACTCCTACCTCCACCCTCAACCACGCCCCTAACTTTGACATCTGCCAAAAACCGGTTAAAATCATTAACAGGCTCCCTTCTCGAGGAATTCTGGACACTGGAAGCCCCAACCTCATATCGAGCACTAGGAATCAACACCATCGAACGATGTCCGGGCGAACTTTTCTTAAAACGTTCCCTCGTAGCCCATCTTTATGCTGCCAGCTCAGGGCATGGCGACTTTGTGCCTACCACGAACGTTTCAAACACGTCGACGCACACAAAATATGCAGTTGCGGGGCTCCCAAGTCACCAAGGCATCTCCTAACCTGCCACATTCCCTCAGTAAGGCTACCTAGAGTTCCAAGGAGCTACAGCGATAACGTTAGTTACCTATTTGGTAGTCAAGATGGAGCAAAAAAATTGACACAGTGGCTGCAAGATACAGAATTCTTTTCAAAAATCTGCCCCCGACACAGAGCAGAATCTCACCACGTTTATGCTGACTAGAAATTTGCACAGAAGGATTTTACACTCTGGCCCTTTAAACCAACTCAAATATATAGATAGTAAGCTGTCCCAGTATTTTCATGCCCAAGAAACTTTATCGCAAATTCATTTCTTGTTATGGAGCAGGATAACCCTTCTATAACCCTTTGCCTAGAAAAACTAAAGGCTTTGGCAATTCAGGTTTGGACAGTCAAAGGCCTCAGGTATCCAAGGCAGTAAGCTTTGGCGTCTTATGTCCTACTTGGGATTTGTATTAGATAGACGTAAAATAATAAACCAAACCAAACCAACCATGTACATAGTTAGATTTACTCGTCTTATCGCACAATACAGTTATTGATCCCGACCCATCTAGATCCTGATATTCTCTTTACACATTCCGGGACACACATGAAGAATAACCAGGATTTTCATTAAGATAATGCGACAAAATAGAGGCGTGCAATGTGGCGGTAGGGATCAGAGGTTAGGAGTCTAAGCGGATAATTATTTCGATGAAAGAGACGTTCCTGCCAGTCTGCCTCATCTGGCGTCAGAAGGCCACATCTCCCTCGGTTACCGAAGGATTTGTATACGCAGAGCTTCCCCAAAAGCTGTCCCGACCCTTCATCGAAGTTTGAAGCCCAGGATCTGATCTTGCAAGAGCGTAGAGCAGCCATTTTGTTCGATGCAGAAGTTCCGGAGACAGTACTGATGGTACCAAAGCACATACGGGTTAGATGCGTGGAGCATCCGCTGCGTGATGATCGGATGAATCCTAAGTCGAAGCAGTTGCTTGAGAATTATGACGTAGAGATCAAACGGAGAAAGTATGCCGAGACGTATTTGCCTCATGAGTTTTTGCATAAACCAGAGACTGCGCTGTTGCACGACGCTTCACATCTGGGACTGCGTACGATCTCATACAACGACCCAGCTCCAGAGATGGCGGCAGTCACGCTCGTCAAGGAAATGCTTAACGCGAGGCAGAATCACACATATCTGGACTTCGTCTTGGAGAAACCTCGCGCGCTCTGTGCGTATACTGCTCGAATGATTCACAAAGCCACAAAGCAATATAGGAAGTTGTATGCTAGTGTAAACGGGCTGGTGGACAAGGTAGAAGCTGTCGAGGCGCTATTCTAGATGGCGTTTTACGAAGGCATATACGACACCGCAATTCTGATGATCACCGATGACGTAGTGTTGGATATTCACTTCGCGGACGGTCTGTTGGCAACGATGGAGATCCTCATCTATTATCACGGTGCATAAGAGAGCTTTACAGACTTGACCAATAATTCCGTTCATGAACTGGTACAGGAATTGTCCTACGTCAGTATCGCTACGGATGACGACAACGCTCCTCTTGAATCCCAGGCTACGATCTCTGCCCGCTACTTACTCTTCAACGTGCATTTACTGGATGCGACCAACGGTAAATATCTACACGGTGAAAAGGTCGATGCCCTAGTGCAGATCTACAAGGATTTGTATCTGGATGCGTTTAGCGCATGCGGCTACCACGACGCGAGCAGGACGCCATTTCGCAAGGTGTTAGTGAAGGAGGAACCCATTTTGTACTTTGGGGACAGCTGCGAGATGAGGCGGTATGTGGGCCTGCACAGTTCAGACACATAGTGGGCGTCGCACACAGTCGATTATGGAAGTCTGACGCGCAACTTCCGCAACGAGCTCTTCGGGTGCAGGCGTTAATATTGTGGAACCCGTGGCAGCGTGGGCAGACATGTAGGCGTGAGCGATTGTGGGCCGGACGAATTTTAGCGGACCGAGCAAATAAGCGGATGCTGGAAGGGAGCTTACATGCAGCTGGCTTTGCAACTTCTAGTCTAAAAGTCCCTTTCCATTCAGGGGAGGCATGAAGTTTGATTTATTTATTTATAATATTTGATATCGTGCCCACGCACAGCACGTGAGTTCCTCACGTACCGGTTAGCCCAGTCTAAATAAAACTACCCGACGTGTTGGCGCCCACACAGACCCAACAAAGCAAATGATAGCCAGGATCTTATCACCCTGCGCTTGAAGATTAAATTATACATGGTTACCGGTCTCCCTTCAACTCTCATGTTTTCAGATTGTACTGAATAAAGAATAAATTAAGTAAACAATGTGGAAGGAAGAACTTAGTTGAATCATATGATGAAGTCTGATTGTGGTGCTATCTAACATTAAGTACACTATATCACGTGATATATATAATCCACTTCACTAAGCGCGGCACGTAATAAATGGGCCAAGACCTGCCTGCTATACATTCCGAATTTTTAATTGAAGTCAAAAGTACTCTCCAGCTGATATTTTTGTATTCTAACACAGTAGAGAAGATAGTTATCTACATTAACAGGAAAGTTATCCATCACCTAGACCAATAGTCTTTCAATCTGAGCTCTAGCGAATACAGGCCAAGTGTTTATAGTTTGCAATACTAGGTAGTGTTGTTATTGTATGCTTCAACAGATTTCATGGAGTGGACCAAGAAACTAAATATGATGAACTGTGTATCACGTGATATAGTGCTCTCCTACATTCCCCACACCGATGCTAAGGGATAGCTCAAAATGACAAGAAACTATGGATGATTCTCAGAAATACAGGGCTGTGATGTGGCTCGTCGTAAGATCGCCCAAGTTGCACATTTCTACGGTTAAGGTTCCAAATTCTCAGCTTTTTTTTCGGTGGGCAGAGTGCTTAGATTCGTGTCCAGCCGAAAGCTTTGTAGATATTTGAAAATCATTTAAAGAGCCGTAAAGTATACTCTCTGGGGAACAGTACTAAGATAGATCCCGACACTACTAGATTCCCAAGAAGCTCTGGCGATCATCACCTAAGCGTCATTCGCTGCTGACAGTATCTTATCTATTTAGTCCCATGAAATTTTGCCTTGTTGGATGAGCCCGAACTGTTTCCACCTTAAATGGAGTTCAAAAGAACCCTCGAGGTTCTCTGATATTGTTTCATAACTAGATAGCTGCACACGCAACTAAAATCTGATACAAAGGAAAAAACCCTTGAGGGAATGTTAGTAGCTTGGCAGCACCGAAAAGATCCGCGTAAAACATATTTGCTCTAGCCGAGTAGATCAAATGATGTTTCTCGTGTAATATCTAACAGTAAACTAGGTGATTCGATACCATTACCTATAATTATTTTCCTCTCGGTTTTTAGATAATTATATTTGATTAAAGCCAATATATTGATTGTGGAGGTATCTACTTTAGAACCAAATATTGCCAGATACGCAGATGGTGTCTAGTAAGCTATTCAAGTCGAAAGCTCCCCAGTATCAGGCTGATACTCAGACAAAAGTGTAAGTCAGCCTTGAAGCATAAATTTAGCCATAGGCTGATGTAAGATACAAATTAAGTCTTCCCAAATCCCGACGCAATATTGCAGCATGAGGGGACTGGAGTTTTCTCTCAAATGCTGCTAATGTACAGACGGACGACCACTTTAATTGATGGCACTAAAAGCCAATCAAACCATGCGCTTTTGTGCGGTGCTTTTTCCAATATCTCCCAACCTGGACCAAACGCCTTCTAATGAATGCATGCAATGAATTCTTCGCCAACGGCTAAATCCTTGGCGAATATAAATTTGTGGGGTAGCATTGTTACACAGGTACGGCAGCGATCTCTGACGTCTCTACATTTCTTTCCTCTTTGAATCCATCTGTGAAGGAGGTCCCAAGCCCCGGTCGCCATTTGGCAAATAGCTTCACGACAATCGGCCTCGTGTCTTCATCTGCTAGCAGTTAGTATCGTAAAAGGAGCTAGAGATTAATACACACATGTGTTCCAAATATCCTCGATGACATCAAGAACAAGTTCCCTGATTGGTGGTTTGAAAGCCACCAAAAATAGGAGGCTTTGTAGGGCCATATTTACCGTGGCAGGGTCCCGGCAGAGCCCTTTGATCCGAGTCAATGTTTCTTTACTTACCCCAGGAATATCACCAAGAAATTTAATGACTAGCCCTCGATCCTGTCCATCTAGATAGGGGAGAAAACCATCAAGAATCCTGATTGTCCATTTCTCGTAATGAGCTACCGCATCTACAGAAAGCTTCATTTGCACTTTGTCATTGTACCACTCTTCACACAGCCAAGTAACAGCTATATCCATCCGCTTGCGAAAATCCTCGAGCACATATATGTAGAGAGTTTCGCGGATGGTGTTGCTGAGACTAAATGTTCTCAAATTAAGATCCATTTTGAAGCCGCCATTATCTTCTAGGTTGGCTGAAGCACGTGTGGCTAAGCGAGTGATTATGGTGATCCATGCGTCTCTATCATAATTACTCGCGGCTAGCCTATTTAGACCACCCTTTAACTTTTTCCCCCGCTCATCTAAAGTTTGCATTACACCGAATACTCTAGAGAAGGTACTGTGTCCAACTTGAGCTGCTTCTTCATGAGATAGAGGAGGCGGAGTCGGGAGGTAAAACGTTCCAAGGGCTACCTCAGTAACTTCTGGCTTTTGGAATTTGGAAGATTCAGCATCAGGTGACTTAACTTTTTGTTCGGGTTCTTCTGTAGAGAATAAGTCTGGCTCGTAATCATCGTCATCCTCATCTGCGTATGGAACTGAGGATTGCACGATTGGAACTTCGGTTTTAGAGGCAGAGGTTGCACATAAGGATTTTAACCTTTGGCGAATACCCTAGTTGGATAGAATTAGTTGAGACTAATCATTATGGTTCTACCAGGCATACCTCGACAGCTTGATTCAGTAATTCTGTATCAATTCTTTGCAAAATTGTGATTCCAATGTTTACCACCAAGTCTTCCGGCAAGATAGCAACATCAAAAACCTTAAGTGATGCATCAGTTGTAATTGTATATAGATCCGCGACAGAATGAGCGCCAGGCTTTAGGGACGGCACTTGTAATACCCTCGCAGGTGGTTTGGTCGGAGCTACTGGTTTTGAACGCTTTGTTGATTCCGCTACATCTGTTGGCCCTGGAGGACTGCGCTTCCGAGTAGCATCATCAAATATCTCTGATTTTGCTTTGATAATCCGATCAAGGTATTGGTGGATCCGTCCAATTAGAGGATGACGTTGGTCACTAAGCTAGTTAGTATTTTGTTTCCGAAGCTATTTTCACATACCGCTTTATAATGTGGATAAGAAGTTGTCTGGTAGTTTTCTCCATGGATTTTATCGCCACACGTGTCCTAGGAGTCATATTTGAAGTTGCTTCTTTGAGAGGATTAAAGTTTAGTATAACGTTGAGTATCTTATTTGATAGTTGAGGTCGGGCGCGTATTAAGGTAGAAAGAGAATTGAGAGTGGCATTGACTGGGACCGCATCGCTATACCAATCAGTTCAAAAATATTCAATCTTGATGCCAGGACTGACCAAGTGTTATCCTGAAAGACACTTAAGACACGATCAAGGAGTCCGGATGCCTCAGCTTCTAGATTCTTGGGGTCAAGTACCGCATTATTTGGGGAGATCACTGTAAGAGAAACTTCCTCTGGATCGCCGTGCTGTGAGAAAGTCAGCGAGACGTGGTGCTATACTATGCTGTCACTCATACTTTAGCGTTCGCGTCAGGACCTTTCGTCTGAACGAGGACTACTCTTTGTGCGAATTTTATACAGCATACGCGTACGCCAGGGGTTGATGTTTCCCAGATCCGAAGTATTCGTGATTTAATTGCAAGCATCCGTTCCCAGGTTGGTATATCATAGGCGTTGTTAATACTGTTAAGCTAGTGTTAGACTTCACAATTTGTACGATCCCATACTTAACACACAGGGCGTAGCTATGAATGAGAAGTATCAAATTATATGTGCATGAGAGATTACAGGAATTTCCCAATAACTAATACACATCCATCAACTTTAACGTAGGGATCACGTACATCCATCTGAAGACGTGCGGATAGATGCTCGTAGCGGTCTGTACCACACTCTTAACAACCGTAGGATCTTCCTGTTGATTCTCGATCAAATTTTTCAAGGTTTCGAGAACAATCAAACTCAAGGTCTCCTTCTGCTGTGGCGGGATAGTTGGACTTGCAAAGGTCTCAGCCAAAAAGTCGGATACCCATCGTCGCAACTCTACTCTAGCTGCTGGAGCTACAATTGGGAGAATTCCTTGTATGATTTGTGGATAGTAGCTTGAGTCGCTCAGAACTAGTTTGCGTGCATCGCCAAGTTGCTTTATTTGTTGCTCAACAGAAAGTGCGGTTGTTTCCATCCTGAGTTGTTAGTTCGGGAAAAGCGCTCTACAGATGTGGCTTGGAAGCATGTATCTATTCTCTTAACCGCAATACGTTAAGAAATATGTAACGATATCTATCGAGCATCCTGATAGATTGTGAGGGGAGGTTGAACAAGATGCTTGTTGATGGACATTAACTGTCCATTGTCGATTTGCCTGTCCGCTAGAGGCTGCGCGCAGATTCCTCTTGCAATTAGGTGCCTGAATACGTAAGGCACAGAACAACCTAATTAAGCTACGAGGATTTGACATATCGGTATTTTGATGCACAATTGCGAAATGGAAAGGTAAACGCCTGTTGGACAAAATGCCTTTGTAAGTGGACCAAATATACCTATCTTAACAGTGGCCTAATAGAAGGTAGACTACCAAAATCATCATATTATGACAAGGAATATAGACAATCTCCAGCTCTTATTCGGGCCCGGAGACCATATCTCATTAGAAATGCTGCTACAGGACTTGCACTGCTTACCTTTGCAATAGGCGTTTGTAAGTTGAGTAATATTAAACCTCGAAATATTATTGATTCACATTCAAGATTCATGGACGCTAAGAGCTGTATCCCAAGACGAGTTTGAAGACGTTACAATTCCTGCTGCCCCCGTTAAACCACTTGACACCAAAAATACTACTGCGGTTACGTTAGACTTGAAAAAATGATAGTAAGCAAGATTCCGAGATATGAATAGAGTCCAGCCGATTTTGATATATACTCTCGAAGTTTTGTAGGTAGAGAATGATAGATAAATAATACAAGTTTGTGAAAATTAACCCCCAAGAATAACAATGTCAATCCCATGATTATCAACCATTGCAGCTTCTGTGTGCACCCAGAAAGAACACCAAATAATTGTCCATTTCAACCCCGATGCCACGGTTCATACTCCCGCTCAAATATCATCACCAAACTCCTAGGAACTCCTTCCGTGCTGTAGAAGGCTTACGTCATAGTCATCAGTGATAAACGGAATAGCTTGAAAATTTTCGATTTTAAGATATCATAGGATCGTAAACCACATATCAATGTGGAAATGAAATTTTAAGGCGGAAAAGAATATGTAAAAATTCTTGTCTTTGCGAACATTCTTTTGTTCATCTGGAAATATTCACGGGCTATGTATATTTACAAAGGTGATTCCTGATACAGAGCTCAGGATTAAAGTTTGGGTTGGCTAATTTTGATTATTTGATGGTATTGGAGGATTCGGAGTTGGGACATGAAGTGGATAGATATTCCCAGGTGACTGTTGCACGATGGCCGGGTTAGAAAAAATACCCGGAAATGGACCCACTCCATGCTGATGGGGGTTTCGTCGCGGATATGCTTGAGTTATGGGGCTACTCGTACGCGGAAGCTGCGGAGCCATAACCTGTCTCTGAACGATATGTCCGTGTAGAGGAAAATGCGGATTTGTCCATTGCGTCCGCTCAACAAACTGCTCTTCCCCTGGTTTGAATTTGGACGTGGCGCTTATAGTACGCAATCCAGCCAAGTCGTGAAAAGGTAGAGATGCAGCTAACTGCGTTATCTGTTTAGATGCCTAAATTTTTATCTATTATTATCTGAATGATTTAGGTAAGTAGATTATTTAACTTACGCTCATCTTTTCCAAGTCATCTTCAAGCTCTGAAGCTGTTGCAGGGGCCATTATAGGTGCGGCGGGAAATCCGACATGTTTTGCAATGCCGGCTAGTATTGATACTTCATTGCTGTAGGCAATATGATTAATCACTTGCTGTGATTTCTTTGTTGGAAATTTCAGTGAAAACTCTGGGGAAGCGCTGGCGCAATTTCTACGATCGTGCTGGATTTTGTACCATTGCTCGCCTATTTGTTCTATCTTTTTTTCTCGAACTTCTCGAACTTCTTGCTTGAATTGTACCAAAATCTGACTCCTTTGTGCGACCGCAACTTTTTTGAGACTCTGTAACTCAAAATCACGTAATTTTCCTGCAATTCGTAATTTTTCATTTCTTCGTAAATCAAGGCATTGCAGCATTGCAAGATATTCAGGATGGGAAGGTTGGGTTTGCTTTAGCATTAATTCTTCTTTATTTAATTGTTCCATCCGTTCCTCAAAGAGTCTAGTGTCGAAGTCAGCGTAAGAAGTTTAAGTTTCCATGAGGAGTCACCTGTCTCGAAATATCAAAAATTGTTGCTCTATGTTGTACAGCTGGTATAATGCAATTCTTTTTTTCTCAGCTGCAAATATAACTTAGTTGCCCAATCTCTAAACTCCTATGTTACTCACTTTCTTCATTCTTTAAAATGGTCTCTGCTTCATCATCATCATTACTCGGTGTTGGGGTGTCATTATTCTTAGTATCAATGTCGTTGACAGTATCTTCGTAACAATCAACATTTCCAGAGTCCTTCGTTTGATGTGACTTTCCTTGGTTGAAAGAGCTCTTCTTCTTGTTCTCTCGTCTCTCAGGTGAACAAGGGGATACGCGTAACTCCAGAACTGGTTCCTCAACCTTGTTTATATCAACGACATTATCTAATGCTCTGATCTCTTCGTTTGTTATAGTTTTATCGTGAAGCTTATCTGGTTGCCTGATGGAATTTATTCTGTCTTGGGCGGCAGATTGATACTCAGGGCTCATGGGAGAACCACGATGCTTACTGATGGATCCACCTGTATTTTCGGATCCAGCTCCGTCCATAATTGATCGCTTTCGTTTGCGAGTTTCAACTTTTATTAAAGATTGCATATTCTTAGTCTTATCTGCGTGATCTTCGAGGGTTTCAGATGAATTAAGGCATTTATCATCAAAATCATCTGAAGTTAAATGCTTTGGTGATTTAAATGACCCATTATTTGGAATTTTAAGCTCGAGCAAGGAGGTAGTTGTATTTTCTCCCAAGTACTCAGAAACAGTTGGATTGCGTAAACTTTCATTAACATTGCCGTGCGAATGGTCGATATGCAGTCCCAAATTTAATACCAACTGGGCTTGAGCTAGGTTAGGAGAAACATGAGGTCGTTCATTATCTACTTCCGAATCATTCTCGACTTCAGAGACATTACTTATTTCTTCTGAGGCATCATCTTCGTATTCAATCGCCTGGCCTTCAGCTACCTTTTCCTCGATTTCACAAACGCTGCTAGTGCTATCAACCTCAAAATTGCACAGTCGGTTGGATGTTTCGATGCGGGCAGCTTTTAGCAAAGCATCTGCGGCCGTATTTATTTCAACATTCATGATACAAGCTGTAGTTTTTTGCCTCATAACGCTGCTTATTTACTATCTAGATTTTGCATCACCCCGTCACTGGAATGTAAAAGCAAAAGCTCTCGAGTAACATTGGAAGTAGTCAAGGAAGTGGTTGTATAGTTGGTAGAGGTGTCGAATGAGGGCCTGTACAATGTGATATACCTCCTGTCTTTTCGTGGTGACGAATTAAAAATGTAGATATCTTTTCGTAGAAATGACTTAAGTTGATCATGGAAGCTTGCGACCTTGAATCTAAAGTGCTCCTGCTACAATCTAAGCCCTCAAGGAGCCCACGCGATTGTGGGGTGTTCAAATTTCCTGGGTTACAGGGATTTCCTTTTTTCCAGCGCACGGCGATTGTTGTGTCATAGGATCACTCATCTCATTTCAGAATCCCTCACTTCACGATACAGGGAAAAAACAGATACAATCTTAGCGTACAAGAAAACTAAGTGATATGGCAGTGAGCCAGATCAAAAGTTCGATTGCAGTAGATGGGAAGACTATCGACCCTAACTTGGCTAAACTTTTTGCATCTAGCGTAAGTTTTTGCCCTTCAACCTGCAAGCCGTAAAATATTGATTACCTCTCAAGATCGGGCCAAAGGAAGCCTCTAAAGAAACTCAACACAAAGTTCCTTGGGCACCAGAACTATCGCTTCACCAAGATCTAGAAAGAGACAGCCAGACAAATGATGGAAATCGGATAAATGTAACAAAAAAAAAAGAGCATGGAATTACCTTCGAAAACACGCATTCACCAACCAGTTCGAAAACTCATCAAGATGAAAAAAGTCAACATAAGCTCGAAAATCTTATAGAACACTCCAGCCAGAAATTTGAAAGAAAAAGAAAGCGTAAACATGTTAAAGACGACCTTGAGGGCGACTACATGAAAAAGCTAGCTCGCGAAGAAAATAGAGAAGAAGAAGAGCGTCTGATCGAGAGGAAGCTAAAGCGCTCAAAGTCCAAAACTTCAAGTAATCTTGAAGAAAATTCATCCAAGGTTACTCCAGAAAACGATGATTCTAGTCAGCAGAGCTATAACGAAACCGAAAAGGTTGAATTAATATCACCAGACGTGCCGGTACATGAATCTTTGGCCCAAAGTAAAGAGGAAGTTGATTTAGAGAAATCATCACGTACTGTCTTCCTTGCTAATGTATCAACTCTCGCTATTTCATCTAAATCTGCAAAAAAAACACTGATGGCACATTTAAGCTCATTTCTTCCCGACCTCATAGCACCGCCAGATGGGAAACCACCCCACAAAGTCGAGTCCTTGCGTTTCAGATCCACAGCTTTCGTAGCATCTGCTCGACCAAAGAAAGCTGCGTTTGTCAAGAAAGAGTTAATGGAGACGACAACTAAAAGCACAAACGCCTATGTAGTATATTCAACTGCATTCGCTGCCCGAGAAAGTGTCAAGAGGCTCAATGGTACTATTGTGCTGGAAAGACATCTACGAGTGGATGGTGTGGCCCATCCTTCAAAGGTTGATCATCGCCGCTGTGTTTTTGTCGGAAATCTAGGATTTGTCGATGATGAAAGCCTACTCGATCAAGGTGCTGAAACCGAAAGAAAACGATCAAAAATCCCATCAGATATTGAAGAAGGCTTATGGAGGCAGTTTAGTAAAGCTGGTACGGTCGAGAGCGTTCGGGTAATCAGAGATGAAAAGACTCGAGTGGGAAAGGGATTTGCTTATGTGCAATTTGTGGTAAGATTCATGACAAAATCACTGAAACCTCTTTTAAATTCTTTTAGGATGCCAACTCCGTAGAGGCAGCGCTTCTTTTCAACGATAAAAAGTTTCCCCCTATGCTACCGCGGATTCTCCGAGTAGTTCGTGCCAAGGCACCTGGAAAAACTGCTTCCGCTGTAGCACTCTCCCATGCGAGCAAGAATAATCCTCCTACATTTAAAACACGCATCTTCAATCCTAGAATATCATCGGAAAAATCATCGCTTTTAGGCCGTGCCGCGAAACTACTCGGTCGTGCAGGCGCAGCAAAGCTGAAGCGATCTGAAAATGTTAGTTCAAATGTAGGTACAAGCCTATTAAAGAGGAATATATCTACGGGAAATCCTAGTGAAAGCAACACAAAACCACCTGAAAACTTTGTTTTCGAGGGCTATCGCGCTTCGTCCAAATCTGGGAGACCAAAAGACTTAAAGTTAGGCGGAAAGAAGGGATCCAAAGCAAAAACAAGAAGTTCTAATCGGTCATCGGCTTGGAAAAAGGGCCGAATCAATAAAAGCACGAAGAAATCTTAAAGTAATACATTGTAATAACATCTAGAATATACCTCACCTAATAGAAGGTTATGGTGTATCACGCTTAGATGAATTTATAATTTCATAGCTTCACATACACTAGCATGGAACAATATTCCTAACATGTTTGCTTTGGCCTATTGAGACCATCTCAATTTTTCACAAGGGCTTGACCTTGCTCTTCAGTGCCTCCAAGTCACTTGCATACCTCCGAGTCAAGAATCCATAAAACTACATGACGTGTAATGTATTTACTAGCATTTCATAGTCGAGAATTCAAATTCTATCTGGAAATTCAAGGCAGTTATTTCTCTTGTGATCTCTCTCTTAGACGGAGTTGAGTCGCGGGTTTTTACTATTGTCAGATTTCTTAAATCAATGAATATGTATCTCGCTATATTTCTGCAATACTTGGTTGTTAGTTTGTGTACAAGCTGCATGTTAAGGCTTCGCATTGTACAGGACTTCGGGACCTGGAGACGATCGATTTTCTACTCAGCACCAATTTTGATACACGTCTAGGATAGTTGCAGTCAGAGCTAGCTTCAGGAAACATAGGTCTCAGAAGGGTCTATGGCTTAATTTTACTCAATTATTAGACTTCCCGGGCTAACATGAACGGGGGTTTATTTTAATTCAGTATTATCAACGATTACAGAACCTGTAACAGGCTAGACAATGTAAGGGACATCATGGTAAACTAGAAGCAATGGGGTTCATATAGAAGTCAACTTCCAAAGACTTTAGAGTAGAAGAATTCATTCATGCTGTTTCTAATGATTTACTCAACCTAATATTGTATGAGTCTCTTGACCTAAAAGACACATATTTTTTAGATTTTATTTGCAAATACCACTGTAAAGCATGATCATTCTATTGTGATTATGAGGGGAATTGCATACAAACAGTGGCTTTATCAATATGTGCTTGACATTATTATGAAGTGAACGATGATGTGTGTTCGCTTTATTAGATTAGTTTCCTGATGATTGATATCTATATGAAGGAGAATACTCCTTTTTATACCTAAAGCTCATCTATCTAATTGCTAGTAGAATATTCCATCTTGTGATGTAAGATATTCTATCATATGCTATAGAATAGTTTACATTCTTGTTCACACCATCCACATGCAACTATTATGATGTCACTACACCAACCACATCTCGTATAGATCTCTATATCTAATACAATTTGTCTAGTTGGCTCAGTTATTTCACATCATGACACATTCAAACAGAAAAACAATTTTCTTTCGCGAGTAGCCTTTGAGAAGGCTTTTCAAACCCTTTGATGATTTAGGCAAATTAGTACTTCCAGAAATATGGTCAAATCTTGAGCGATTCGAACAGGCGACACCCTCTATTTTTTTACTGCACTTCAGTCGCGTTTGAATTATGACCTCGCCTTAACCTGGCTCTAGGCACAATAGCGTAAGTACATGTGGTACGTCCATGTTAACATATAGTCCCCGACCGCCTCTTATCGCTATCTATTCTTACCCAGCCTACTTCTTTCATCTCTTCGTTCAGCGCCTCGGACAAACCCGATTGTCGACACCTAACACATCGCATCACCCATTACCCTTATTTACAAGAATCTTCAATCGGTGCAATGGCCCCAGCTGTTGCATCGTCATCGACAACGCCCTCCAATCCAGGAGGGCAACTTCACCCAAGCCTGCTTGGCATTGTGAATACAATGCACAAAGCAGAACAACAACGGAAAGAAAGACTGGATATAGCCCAGGAATTTCTAGAACTAATCGACTCCTGGGCTAAGAGCAAAGGAGAGAAACAAGCAGCAGCAGTTGTCGCGACTCTGCTGGAAAACATCACGCCTGTTATCACTGCCTTCGCAGTAGATCGGGCAGAAGCATCTAACTTTCCAAGTAAGAAGCCCCCCACCATGGCAAGCACTCCAAAACCAGTCGCGCTTAGGAAAAATACAGCTGTTGAGGATCACAGCCACGCTCTACCCCCAAATCCTTAAGACACCAGCTCGCCCTGGGTGACAGTAGCCCGTAAAGCGGCCAAGTTACCGACACCACCAAATGTGCAAGTTCCACGAAGGCCTGCTCCATCAAGCCACCCGAAACCACAGACAACCCAAAAGGAAGACAAACGCCTGTTCCTTCGATTGGGGAGAGATCATCACTGGCACAAGCTCTCGCCAGTTACGATCAAGAAAATAATAACCGACAAGGCTGGGATAGCAGCCTCAGCTATCACCTCCATGTACCCAGTCAGGTCTGGGATCGCTCTCGAATGCGCATCAGATGCATTGAGAGATACAATCATGAGGATTGCACCTTCCCTACAGGAGGACAACACCGTGATTGAGGAAGCGTCCAAATGGACATCATTGATCGTACCTCATGTGCCATTGTACATCAGGACGCTTGAAGGCAGCATCCCAGTCACCAACGATATGGTGAAGAACGAATGCCAGACTGTATGCGGCGCCACACCAATCCAGGTAAGGCCCACAGAAACAAAGCTTGGACAATACTCAACAAGCTGGATTGTTCATTTCCAATAAAAACCAGCAAACACAAAGTTTTGTCTCTTTGACGAGAGCGGACCAGCAATTCCCTTCTCACGCCGAAGACCAATCGAGCAATGCCAACGTTGCTGGGGATTCCACACAACGCGTTCCTGTACTCGGAGCCAACGATGTGAGAGATGTGGGGGAACCCACGAGACATCAGAGTGCCAGGCAAAGGTGTCAAAGTGCTCAAATTGCGCGGGACCTCACCACTCAAATGAGGGCAGCTGTATGGCCCGGCCAAGACGACAAAACGGGATAATTCTGCCCCGCACCCCGGCAGAACTTCACATCATCAGAGAACGCGGACATCGTGATTATCATGCTGCTCTAGCGTACTCTGAAAGGAAGGGTAAGGCGGTTGAAACCGACATTGCCCAGGACTCAACAATGTCGTGTTAATGTTAGGAAACCCCTCAACAAAAGCACCAAAAGGCAAGTACAACACCATCCACTTTCACCAAGTGAATGTCGGAAGAGGTGGGGAAAACACAGATATAGCATTGCAGCAGGCATGGGATGCCGGTGCACATGTAGTCATGGTACAAGAACCATGGACAAGAAAGAAAGAGGGGGGTTTTATAACAAAAAGTCACCCTGGCTACAATAGCCACATACCATTCGGAGGAACAGACATCCGGCCCCGCGCGATAACTTTCACGCGCAAAGGTAGTCATGCGACTCAACTATTTCCACCGTTGTCAGGCCCGACATCTGACTACTGTTTTGTAAAGATGGGCAGTCTAACCTTTGTCAACGTATACCGTGCCCCAGGCACTAGTGGAACCTTGGAGCCCCTACTCCGGTGGGAAGTTAGAGGTTTAGTGGTTGTTGGAGGCGATTTCAATTCTGTGTCACAGCATTGGCAACCGCAAACAACAAATCAGTACGGCAATGGTAACCAGATTATGGAATGGGCAACAGCCCACGACATGGACCTAGTCAGCATTGTTGGAGAGCCAACGCACAGGGATGGGAACGTCCTAGATCTAACGTGGAGCAACACGGCCGCTGTAGCATCTGTGTCCAATCGCTACCACTGTACCTCAGATCACTCGACCATCGAAGGTACCGTGCTTAACCCTACAGTGTCAGATCTCTCTGGAATTGTAAAGAACATTCGTGTCAGCGACGCCAACTTGAAGGAATTTAACCGATGCGTTAGCCAATGGACCAAATCTGGCCCTCTCGAAAGTGTCGTCAACATCGAAAACTTCACAAATGATCTCCTACAAGCACTTGGAGATGCCCTCAAGATTGCAGGGAAAGTCCCAGCCATCGAAAGCGGAAGAACTGGGCCATGGTGGACCGATGAATGTCGCACAGAATGGCAAGAGTACAAGGCAGCGAGAGACAACCCTGACCTCGCGAAAGAGGCCCGCAAGAGCTTTAGAGCCGTGGTACGAAAAACCAAGCGAGAGTACTGGAAGAGGCAAGTAGAGGCAGTGACTACTGACGCACAGGTATTCAAGCTCATGAGATGGGCTAAGCCTCGACCAGCCGCCGAGCTCCCTCCCCTGCAGATTGACGAAAACCGGTGGCTATCTGACCCGCGAGAGCGAGCTAGTGCGCTACGAGACATTCTCTTGGCTAGGTTTAGCGGCGAGAACGACATCTCTATCTGGGAGAATGGACAGGAGGAGCGTATTCCATGGGATATAGAATTATCACTGGACGATGTGACAAGCGCCACTGTATCTGTCAACGATACGGCACCGGGAGCGGACAAGATAACAGTACGGTTACTGAAATCCTGTTGGTCCCATCTAGGACCTCTCGTGAAAGATCTTTACCAGGCCTGTCTGAAAATCGGCTACTTTCCCACGGCCTTCAGGGTGGCAGAAGTTGTGCTTCTTCCAAAGCCGGGTAGAAATCTGTCAACTGCCAAGGGTTGGCGACCAATCTCGCTGTTGTCAAGTTTAGGCAAAGGACTTGAGCGTCTAGTTGGTAAGAGAATGGCATGGCTGACGATAAGTCACCAAGTTGTTCACCCACAACTATTCGGCTCCGTACCAGGACGATCTGCAGTCGACCTTGCATCCTGTGTAATCCACGATGCTGAGGCGGCCATGAGAAGTGGTAAGTGTGCGGCTATGGTCACACTCGACATTCAAGGTGCATTTGATGTAGTCCTTCACAACCGACTGCTCAAACGCCTTCGAGAACAAGGCTGGCCACGATCCCTGTGCCGGTTTATTCAGACATTTCTTTACCAACGAAAGGTTCAGGTCAAATACTGCGGTGGAATCACAGAAGAGAAGATACTGGAATGTGGAGTACCTCAGGGCTCGCCACTATTGCCACTTCTTTTCATGCTCTACATCGCTGTGCTTTTTGAGGATCATGGTCTAACGAGTAGGTTTGGTTATGCTGACGATGTAGCTATTGTCAGAATTGGAAACACCGCGGCGGATGCTATCTCCGCAGCTCAAGACGACCTCGACAGCCTTATC